TTCTGAAGAAGGGTCTAGGCCCGAAACGTCAGCCTTCCTGCTCCTCTGATGCTGCTTGGCCTGCTGTGTTCATCCAGCTCTACACCTTGTTATCTCTTCCATTAACAAATCTTTGGTTTTAGTAAAAGCATAGGCTATGTTCACATATTCACTTTATTTTTCCATTGACTAAAAGGTTCAGTATCATATAGAGTCATTGAGATGTACATCACAGAAACAAATCCTTCAGGCCAACTCATCCATGCCAACCAGCTATCTTAAATTAATCTAGTTCCATTTGCCAGAATTTGGCCAATGTCTCTCCAAACCCATCCAGATGCCTTTTAAATGTTGTGATTGCACCAGCCTACACCACTTCCTCTGGCAGTTCACCCCACATGCTAATACTTTGCATTTTGATTCAGCCATTCTCGTCCAAAGTCAACCTAATTACAATTTTCTGTCGGGAAAGAACAGAGTTTCTAATCCAATCAACCATATTCTGCTACCAATGTCACTTTGAATCCAATCCAAATCAATGAGATAGAAACCTAGACACCTTTCTTTGTGGTTAGAGTTTATTAACTACTCAGTCTTATAGCACTTGACACTGCCACCCACCAATTCCCCTGTTCCATCTTTAATATCTAACCAGCAATGCTCCCTCCTGGCTGCATGGGCAGCAGCTGCTCCAAGATTCCACATGTGCCAGTATGCATACACTTTCAGTTTCAGAAGTTGTTGCTGCCGTGCAGGGTCAGATCTCCAAACATTGAAATAAAGAGAGGAACCTTAGCTAATCAGTTAATTAACTCAATCATCAGCTCAACCACTTGCTGCATAACAAATGGGATTGGAAACAAGACATGGGCGTCAATATTTTGGATGATCTCAAGGTTACAAAGTGTACACTGTGGACTACTACCAAGAGTGCGCTGGACTGTTTGTATCTGGAAGCAACAAAGGTATGGCTGAGGTGAGGAGAGAGATAAAAGAGAGCACAAGAGAATGTGAAGGTTGCTGGACAGGACGGAAGTATTCAGAAGCAAAAGGTGACAGGATCATCCACACTCTGTGTTGAGTTAGTTAATCTCAATCTTGCTCAATACTCCAGTGCAGAACTGAGCAAATGCAGTACAGTGATGCTGTCGTTTGGGCACATTGTCAAGATAATGCCATGCCTGCCTTTTCAATATCCCATGTATCAGATGTGTTCACACCAATATGTATTGCTCAACCACCACTAAAACAGATGAATCAATCAGCATCTCATTCCTGTATGTGCAAATTTGCTGTGCATGTTGGGTGTATTGCAACACTCTACAGGTCAGATGTACAATACCTACTGCAAAACATTGAGACATGGATGGTTGTGACAGACAGTACTGAAATGCACACTAAAATAAAGCAAAGAACTACAGATGCTGGAAATCTGAAATAAAACAGTAATTGCTGGAGAAATTCTCCAGCATCTGTGGATAGAAAACAGATTCAATGTTACATAGAACATAGAACAGTACAGCACAATATAGGCCCTTTGGCCCACAATGTTGTGCTGACCTATTAGCCTACTCTAAGACCAAACTAACCTGCATACCCTACTTTTACTATCATCCACGTGCCTATCCAAGAGTCGCTTAAATATCCCTGATGTATCTGACTCTACTACCACCACTCTGTGTGAAGAACCTACCTCTGACATCTCCCCTATACCTTCCTCCAATCACCTTAAAATTATGCCTCCTTGTGATAGCCATTTCCGTCCTGGGAAAAAGTCTCTGGCTATCCACTCTATCTATGCCTCTCATTATCTTGTACATCTCTATCAAGTCGCCTCTCATTCTTCTTCGCTCCAATGAGAAAAGCCCTAACTCCATCAACCTTTCCTCATAAGACCTGCCCTCCAGTCCAGGCAGCATCCTGGTAAATCTCCTCTGCATCCTCTAAAGCTTCCACATCTTTCCTATAATGAGGTGACCAGAACTGAACACAATATTCCAAATGTGTTCTAACCAGGGTTTTATAGAGCTGCAGCATAATGTCACAGCTCTTAAACTCAATTCCCCTGCCAATGAAAGCCAACACACCATATGCCTTCTTAACAACCCTGCCAACTTGGGTAGCAACTTTGAGGGATCTACAGGCATGGACCCCAAGATCCCCTTGTTCCTCCACACTGCCAAGAATCCTGCCATTAACCCTGTATTCTGCATTCAAATTCAACCTTCCAAAATGAATCACTTTACACTTTTCTGGGTTGAATTCCATCTGCCACTTTGTTGCCCAGCTCTGCACTCTGCCAATGTCCTGTTGCAACCTACAACAGCCCTCCACACTATCCACTATCCACTTTGTATCATCAGCAAACTTACTAATCCACATTTCCAATTCCTCATCCAAGTCATTTATAAAGATCACAAAGGGCAGAGGTCCAAGAACAGAGCTCTGCAGAACACCACTGGTCACCGAGCTCCAGGCTGAATACTTTCCATCTACTACCACCACCTCATCAATTGCACAGCCAATTCTGTATCCAAAATATTTTGAAGGATAACCAGACTTGAAATGCTAACTGTTTTTCTCTCCGTAGATGCTGGCACACCCTGCTAAGGGATCGTAAGAACTGCAGATGCTGGAGTCAGAGATAACACAGTATGGAGCTGAAGGAACACAGCAGAGGAGCAGGGAAGTTGGTGTTTCAGGTAGGGACCCTTCTTCAGAAATAGGGAAGGTAGTTTGTCACAAACAGAGGGCAGGTGCTCTACAAAGCGGTCTCCGAGCCTCCACTTGGTCTCACTGATGTACAGAAGGCCACATCAGGAGCAACAGATGCAAAAGACCACATTAACGGATGTGCAGGTGAACCTCTGCCTAATGTGAAATGTTTGTTTGGTGCCTTGGATGGAGGCGAGGGGGAGATATAGGGGCAGGCGAGCAGTTTCAGGGCCGAAGAGATTACCAGAGGGTTGCAGTGGGAGAGAGATGTGGCCTCTTCTACATAGGTGAGACCAAGCGGAGGCTCGGAGACTGCTTTGTAGAGCACCTGTGCACTGTTCGCGACAAACAACACCTTCCAGTCACAAACCTCTTCAACTCCCCCTCCCACTCCCTCAGTGACATGTCACTCCTGGGCCTCCTCCAGTGTCACAATGATGTTACCCAGAAACTGGAGGAGCAGCACTTCATATTCCGCCTTGGGAACCGACAACCCAATGGTCTCAATATGGACTTCACTAGCTTCAAAATCTACCCACCCCCGGCCTCATCCCATGGCCAACCCTCCCTCTCATCCCTGCCTCCTTGACGTGACACAACCCGTCCATCTTCTCTCCCACCTCACTGACCAATCTCCACCACACTCTACCTGCACTCACCTATCGCCATCCCACCTGCCTTCCCCAGTCCCACCCCTCCTCTATTTATTTTGGAGCTCCCTTCCCCTCCTCCATTTCTGAAGAAGGGTCCCCTCAGTTTCTCCAGTCATTTGATTTTGATTCTTTGACACTGGTGTCTCTGGCAGGAGACAAAGGAATCCATCTGGACAATCATTCTGGCTGATATGCAGTGGCCCCCTATTAACATGACGAGACCAAGACAGGACCAAGTCTGGACTCACCTGTGGCAATTCTGCAGTGCAATGGATAAAATCACTGGAAAGGAAACCCCTCCTGAGGTTGTCAATTAAAAACAAACAAACAAACATTCATGTGGAAATCAAAGGTACTTTAGTAGTGGTTCAGGGCCTGAACTCGACTGTGGAATTGTACAGCAGCATTTGCAGAAGAGAAGTTAAAGGCAGAAGTAGAGGCATTGAATATTTACATTAACTAAGGCAGGAAATTCTTTGTAGGAGACAGAATTAAATTATAGAAGGACAAGGTGGAAGGAAGAATGATTATTTGGCTCCAAAACAAAGGTTTGCAGGCCATTACTAGTTGCCACTGGTTTCAGCTCCTATGGTGTTGTTATGCCAATTGTGGGATTTACGCACATCAGCAAGGCTGAATGTTTACTGCAATCAAATGAATGTGTTTAAGGAAACTCAGCATTCTACTTAAGCTGTTGACTGATGCAATAAAACACTTATCAGCCTGAGAACGTTTAATCTAATTTCTCATGTCATAAGCTAGAAATGTGAAATTGCAGCCACAAGGATTATTTGCAAGGTTATTGTCCAAGTTAAAATGGTTCACAGTTGACAAACTGCAAGTTATTACGTCATCCTTATCTGAACCACAATTTCAGATTACACTAGCTAAAATTCGTCCCTCAGAAAACTGTGACCCAAAACACATTCAACTCATTGCTGTATTGCAAGGGACCTTGTGGGAAAATTAGTTGTCACATTTGTCTACATTAGGATGTGACAATTTCTTCCTTTCTATTACACTCTGACAATCATATCTTTTCACTCACTTACAATTTTCTTGCCACTTTCCTTTTCAAAAGATGCTGCTAAGCCCTAAACATTACTTGCAAAGGACTTCAGGTAGCTCAAGCAACTATTTCTCATTTGACAGTCACATTAGTGGCAACAATAAAACAAAATTGACATCAAGGACAGTTGACCAAAAACTTACCTTAATGAAGGTAGGCAAGACAGAAGAGGGCAGAAATTCTTTAGGAGAGAATTTGACAGTATGGTATGGGGCATGCTCAAGAGGCCAAAATTAGAGGAGAGCAAAAATCTTGAAAGATTGTGGAGATTGAAGAGACTATGAAGATCAGTTGGGGAAGTCTTGGATGAAATTGAAAAGAAGGATGAAAATTTTAAATCTTGGTGTTGCTTAAGGCCAATTGCAGCACCCTACTGTTACTAAATTGAGCTCAAATAACTAAACTAAGACTAAAGTATTGATTTTAGGATCATCTTGGTCAGGATAGAACATCTGGCAATATGTGTGTGACAGAAATAGGATCAACATTTCAAGTTGACAATTTTTAATCAAAGCTTGATTATTTATAGGGTGGATTTGCCAGAGGGAACCTCAATTTCCATGTGTTCTTTTTTCAGAAAGAAGCACAGAGTGAAAGGACAACTTAAAGCATCGTCCACCCAGAAATTACTCTTCATCACGAAACAATAAATCCACCAAATAATGTTATTCAAAAATAGAAACCACCCAAGGGAATAACTAAAGCCCATCTAACTAAGGTAGACGAAGTGTCTATATGCACACATTGCTCTTGCCTGTAGGCAAGGCTGGTGGTACTGAGTTAACAACGCACAAAGCAGACATGACATTAAATTCTCCAGACAGGATTCAGGAGTTCCCAGTTCAATTGACAGATCCATGGAGTTAACCCTTTCAGTACTGTTACTAGCTTAGACAACTTAAAACAAGTTTAGAAAGGAATACAGATGTTTACTGATTACAACAGACTAGTAATCTAGAGGTTGTGAGAATTCAAAACCCACTATGACAGGTGACAGAACTGACTTCCACAATTTATCAGATGTATTGAAAAGAACCAGAAAAATAATCCAATTAGGTCACTCGTAATCCAAGAAAATGAACTCGGTATCTTTCCCCAAATCCAGGCTGCACACGACATCAGTATCACTTTGGATAGTTAACTACATACCATCTGGGCATCCAAGGATGGTCAATAATTATTGCTGTCACCCTGATTCCAGGACAATTTGTTTTTTGAAAATGACTTGAGATTGCTCTAATCTCTCAACTGACAAAGGAAATGTGTAATTAAGTAACTAATGGAGGGAGTACAACATAGATTTACAAGACTGATACTTGGATTCCAAGAGTTCAGCTACAAGAGATTAAGCACATTGGAATCTCTTCCCTGGTCAAGGGGTGACCTTTATCAACATTACAAAATATTAAAAGGAGAGTAAACAGGATAGAAAGAAGTTATTTCTGCTGGTGGAGGAGGAGTTTTCAGGGGCATAGTCAAAATATTTGAGCCAGAATTATCAGGAATGAAATTAGGAAACACTTCAGTACTAGGTTCCAT